GTCTAACAGTACTTTACATTCAAAGGGAATATTCAATAAAGTGAAAGAGGTTTTATTGATAAGAATATCAATTCATACATTAGTATTACTCGCATTTGAAATACAGACTAAAATCTAAAACAAAAAAATAAAATAAAAATCTCTAGGAAAATATTCACTGTATATTCACTGTATACTGATTACAATCATAAAAACGTGTGCCCGATCACCTTACATACAGTATACTGAGTACACAACTAATGGTATGGAATTTTGAATCAAGTAAATGTTTATTAATAGACATTTAACTTTGAAATCTAATATTTAAATTATAGTATTTTTGTAAATATGTTGGCGTCACACACTAATTAATTGGTGATCTTTGAACTTAATGTTTATTTTGCAATTATTGCGATTAAAATAATTTTCAGAGTTATTAAGCATTTGATATATAAATCTCGGATGAATTGGTTGTGTCTGAAAAGCCTACGAAATATTGATTTTGTTGATCGCGTTTAAGCTTCAAAATCAGTGAATGCATACATAATTCATAAGTGAAAAGGAGATGAAAATTCTCGACTACTCAATGAACTCCTACTTAAAGAATAACAAAATTTTATTTAGTTTTCATATTACATTCACTTTATAATGTAGTGGACAGACAGAAAAATAAGATAATGTAGACATTAAAGTATAGAATCGCGCCTATATTTTAGGAGCTAGTGTTGGATTGGATATGTTATACCAATAGTTAAGCAATTTTAACCGCATTTTTAGCAATACAGCCAACTTTTAACAATGAGATCAATTCAATTTGAGAGGTTTTCTTAAATCAATAAATTTTATTCAATATTCTCATAGAATTCTTGATTTCACTTATATTTCAGTCTATATTTAGATCAGATTTTCCCTGATGCCTTAACACGATAGAGGTTCATAGGGTTAGCGTTTTGTAATTATGGGTGTGGGTGTAGACTCTCATTATAGCTACAGTAGACAATTTTGGGCAAAAAAGTATTATTCTGTATAAGAATTTGTTTTATTATTGCAAAAGAGAAATAAGTTTAGCATACGATAAAAAACTGAGATATTTTTTTTGAATGTCAAAATACATGTCTTTTTCAGAGATGCTTTACATTTAATATATTCATTAAAATATGAGCGAAAGTGTTGTAAAATATAGTATTTTCGACTAATACTAGCGCAAAATGTTAGTTTCATTTACGCCACGAAATTGTCTAAGAAATATTCAGTGACGAAAATTTATGTTTATTTAACATTAAAACTCAAAACTGGATTCAAGACATGTGTCTATTTATAAAAATATTTTCATTTCTGTTTTCAATATGTATCTGTTTTTGACATTAATTTTTAGTAAAAAGATTTGCATTTAAATAGGTTTTTTTTGTAAAATATTAAACACTATTAAACACAACGTTTTTAATATTATAATTTCTATTAAAACAAGACAACAAATTATTTAACACTAAATAAATATTTAACACGACAACTTAAATTATAATGAATTTATAAAATTGAAGTATATATTCAAATAATTACATCAGTATCATTTAATACAACAAATTCTTACACTTAGTCAACCATTGATATTATTATTTAATTTAGTGTAGCACTCAAAGTACCAAAAATGTCCTTCAAATATGATAATCAAATCAGTCAATGTTTGATTAGATTTTTATTGTTAAACAACACTTAAAAAGCTAAACTTGTTTTATAGATATATAAATACCACAGTAGTTGCTTTCTGTTTTCAGACATAGTATTTATAATATACTTATAATATAAATATACTTAATATTATTAACGTTAAAATGTTGTCAATTAATATTTTAATAATCTTAGGTTCAGCATGTTTGGCTATATATTTGTAAGTAATTAAAATTATATTTCGTATTACTATAATTTATAGCCTTCATGTATTATTTTATTATAAATATAATTTTAATTTAAAAATCTATCTTTATAAAAATCAAGGACATTGAAAATATTATAATAACAACAACGTTACTATAAACAACTCTATCCTACCATAAATCCATGCTATTTTTGATTAATTTAATTAAATTCTTATTAATATAATTTACAGAATATTCTTTAAAAAAATAATTAAAAATATTTATAATATTATATTCAAATCACAGATATTTGACTCGAAATTACAAATACTGGACGTCGCGAGGAATCGATGGCCCAAAACCCATCATATTTATGGGGACAGTATATCAACAGTTCTTTGCCTCACTCCCAGAGCTTGTCGTATCAAACAGCAGAAAATATGGCAAAATTCACGGGTTTATACATCACACATAAATCTCAATATCTATTTGCCAATAGTTGTGACCATTTCATGCTTGTGTGTGTGTTTAGGCAATTCATGGGTACAATGCCTATACTGGTGGTGGCGGAGCCGGAGCTCATCAAAGATATCACAACTAAAGACTTCCATAAGTTCTCCGACCGACACGACTTCCTAACGGGTGATCCCATGAACGACAGGTCATTATTTAACGTCAACGGAAACGATTGGAAAAAATTGCGATCAATCGTAAGAAACGCTTTGATAATTAGTCTCTCGTTTAAACTAATTAAAGATTAACTAGATAACTAATTAAATTCACGTTTAAACTCTAATTGCCTTTAATTCAGTCATTTTCCTTTTTGCACAATATATTGAAACAACAAAAATAATTTAATGAGTTTTTCGCCCAAAAATCAAATCATTAATTTGAAGATAAGCCCAACGTTTTCGAGTGGCAAAATGCGTTCAATGCATACCATTATCATTGATTGCGTGAAGAGATTGGAGACGATTATGACTGAGAAGACGGCCGACGGGTTGAGTGAATTGGAGGTGAAGAGACTGATGGGGAATCTGACGATGGATGTGATCGCTTCGTGCGCTTTCGGCACCAAAATAGACACATATAATGAGCGGAAAAGAAGTGAATTTGTGGTAAACGCCGAGAAAGTGATCAGACCCAACTGGAGGGTCTTCATATTTTTCATGCTTATGAAGACATTCCCCAAAATCCTTGAGTGGACTCAATTCAAGTCCACTAATGTGGTTGTCGACAGGTTTTTCAGATCAGCGGTCAGTAGACTTGCGATTAAAATGGAAATTATTTGAGAATTTTAATTGATTTTCGATCCAAACTGTAGATTAATTCAATGATATCGAGCCGTAAATCACAGCCTAATCGACACAACGATTACTTGCAACTTATGATTAATGCATTCAATAAAAAGTTTGATAATAACGAGGAAAAGGATATTGTCGGTGAAAATGAGCGCATTTACGGACAAAGGGATGAAAGTGAAGACTTTCTGCTAAATAAACAGAAGATAGAGCTCACAGAAGACGACATTTTGGCCAATTCTGTGCTCTTCTTTGTGGCCGGTTTTGAGACGACGGCATCCCTCCTCTCATTCCTAACCTATTCGTTGGCTCTGAACGAAGACTGTCAGCAAAAACTATTTGACGAAATTACAGACTTTGGCGGAAAGTATGATTACGAGACCATCTCTAAAATGCCGTATTTGGAGGCATGTATTGCCGAAACACTCCGACTCTATAACCCTTTAAGTGTGACCTTCCGTATGGCTAATGAAGACTATGTATTAGGTTTGCAAACAAATTGTGTGATTGTTACCATTGGGTGTACATGTTATTTGCTTAATAAACTATAGGCGACACAGGAATTACAGTACCAAAGGGAATGATGGTTAACGTGGATATTCAAAGTATGCACAGAGACCCCGAGTATTATCCAAACCCTGATCGTTGGGATCCGGAGAGGTTTATGCCCGAGAATAGGGACCAATTGGTTCCATACACTTATATGCCGTTTGGTTTGGGGCCCAGAAATTGTGTGGGAATGAGGTTTGCCTTAATGGAGGCCAAGACAGCCATCATATGTTTGGTGCAAAAGTTTAAGTTCAGCCGAAGTGCCAACACTGCCGTTCCCCTCATTCCTAAGAAACACGACTTTGTATTAAATTGCGGCGAAATCAATGTCGGCGTTCAGCTCAGACACAAATAAATGTCTTTTCATTAAATGGGGAAAACGTGTACAAAATGTTTGAGTGAATGAGAATCTTATTATTAAATCTCTTATTATAATCATATATTGGGATGCAATCACCAATTATGTGATTTATTGTGACAATTCCCTTTCAAAGCTTATCTATTATTGAACCACTAATAAGATATGTGTTGTGAGCCGTAAAATACCCCAAACAACACAAGTAGCCATTCATTTAAGGAGAATATTAGCTTATAGTCAGTTACGATATAATAGTTACTATAATACAAGAATTGAATCTACTATTTATAACAATATTTTCGTTTTTACTTGAAAACTATTGAAAAGATAAGAAATTGAGAGGTAGTGCGAAGGCATAAAAAATATAAATAATTTGTGAATCATATAAATGAATGGACAGGAGATTCACACGTTTATTGCCATCAATTAGATTAGGAGTCGATTGAGACGAACCGATAAATAATACAAAAACAAATCATATGTTTCCCGAGAATAAGACAAGTTTTTTCACTGAAACACATTTCATTAGTTCATAGAAAACAGATGTCTTAATATTGCATAACAATATTAATAACAATAATAGTTAGTTGTAATCAAAATTGATTTATTGAGAAAATATTTGTGAAATACACCGAAACATTGATTACGAGTTGTCTGTATGTTGTTTAGAAATAGTGTTTTATGTGAGAATCAGATATCAAATTGAATTAAAAGTTGTTTTGACCTTTTCATCAGATATTCA